AAAAACAGATTCCTCTCACGCCATGTTTCATATTCCTTGTCATAACTTAAATAACAACACTAAAGCAGGTTCTGGCTCTGTTCAGTCAGGCCTGAATCTCCCCATCAGCCTGACTTTATTCCTGTTTCCTCTAGGTATTGAAATAATCCCCCGTTTCCTCTGCTAAACGGATCAGATGAATGAAATTAAAATAATTAGAAAATTGGAAGTGCACAGTTTATTCAAATGTTCGTGAGTGCTGCAGTGGTGACATAACTGTCCCCCCTAAACCTGGCACTGCGAAACAGCAGCGTGCATCCAAGCCTATACAGAGGGAAGAGGTAGAAACAGCACCAGCAGCAGCAGACTAACTCAATTTTTATACAGCAGCAACCGAGATCTCCTCCCTGTCATCCTTCATTGATTTTGCAATCCAGCGGCATCCAAGCAGAACCATACAAGCCGTACACCTCAGTCTGCCGCTGATAGCCAATCTCTATTACCCACCTAGCCCAAGGCTTCGGTTCGAGGGGCTAACCCTCTCAGGGGAAGCAGACAGAGTGAGAGAGCTCCGACTGGCGGATTGGAGCGATGATGGATTTATGAGCTGCTTGGAGAAAGGATCATCTTCTCTCCCCCACTTTTATTATCCCATCAGATCTGACGTGATAGCAATAATACACGACGGCCTGTCACATTTTGCAGATCTGGCAGAGAATATGAATGATGATTTCAAATGCTTGCGTCTAATCAGCCGCGAAATTGCTTCAGTAAATATGTTCAACTACCAGTGCTCTGTCTTCCTCCTGTCTCTCACTTTGAATGAAACTCAGAGTAATAGGCTTGTAGTTGTCACAATGTTTAAGACCCGTGTTGGCTTCACGGTTCATAATTAGTCTTTAATGCACAGAGACGGCTTGAGGGGAGGAAACTGACGGAAATGTGGAATGAAAGGGGGCCTGCTGTGTGGCCATAGTAATTCAGGCTTTTGTTCTCTAATTAAATGACCTCAGAAGGGAGCGCTGAGCTTAAGTTTGTGTGTGTGGCGCCCTCTGATATGGAGGTTTGTGCCAAGTGTATTCAGTCTCGCAATGAATAGGGCGTCTACTACAAAGCCTAAGAAGCCCTCTCCGTGCCCGCTTCGCCTCCTTGTTGGTTGTTGGAAATTTGCCACAAAACACCATGTCTTTTAACAAGTGGTTTCTGGGTCCCCTTGCATAGTTCAGGACGTTGTAGTTAGGGACACAGTAGCACCCGGTCTTTTCTCCCTCTCCCTCACCTCCTCTGAAAAAAGACTGGCAGCCTTCCCCGAGGCTTGAGCTACACAAAAGCGTACATTTGTGTGTTTATGCCATTGCTAAGCAAAAAGGGAAAAGCTTAAATGATGATGTATTTTCTCCTGTTGGGCCTTATTACGATGTCCGCAGTTAAAAAATATGGACAAGAACTCAGATAGTTTGTAGCAACAGAGGTTAAAGTATCAAGTCACTCAATTAAAACATATTTTCACTTACCTCTAATGGTATCTAGCTATGTAACTGTTGTCTTATTGGTCCATTTTACCTGAGTCTTCTGCTAGCACAGCGAAGGTGTATGAAATTGAATTTGTGGTGCTCACAGCATTAACACAAAACATTTGAAATGCTCTACAGCAAGATTTCTTTCAGAAACAATGTCCCTGTTACTGTGGAT